TTACCCTTTAGTGTTTCACATGCATTTTTTAACATGTCATGTAATTCATCCTACATCCATAGTTCCATAATGCCTGCTTCGCTAATTTAACAAATTGTTAAAGATTTTTCTGTTATAGCACCTTTATTTAAACTTTTAAGCCCATTAACCTTTTTTTCCGCCTTCCAACGTATAAAGTCCAGTTCCAACTTTAGTCCAATCCAGTCCACTTTTCAGTATTTTCCGATAGTAAGTCAAATGCACAAAAATGTTGCAAAAACAAGTCCACCACGTCAAAGGATCTTCCAGTTATCTGTTACTGTAGTCAAGGTCAAAATCTGCAGCTGTTCTTTTCTCTGTTATTCCTCTATTAAGTCTTGTAGTATTCTTTTCACACCACTAGATGTCTCCCTTTCCACAGTACAGTCTGATCAGCTGGCTGTCAGAAGCTGTCAAAAGTTCACTTTAATTCTCAAAAAATAGAAAAAAGGTAGAAAAAGAAAGAAAGGAATTCTCCCCCCGAATTCTCTGGTTGATTTAAATTGGAATTTCCAATTCCAATTTTGGGAATGAAAATTTTCTAGAGCTTTCTGTTTTAATCTCCACTTTGTCCTTTTCCCTCCATTTAAATCCTTTTCATTTAAAGCTTGCTAATTAGCCACTAGCTCCGCTCTGAGTCTCTTTTGTAGTTCAAATTTAAAATTCCTTTATCTTTGGGTTGGTCACTCTCTCACCTAAGTCCAATGCCATGCTCCAACACTGCTCCTGCTCAAACAGGTTGGTCCAGTTGCCCCAACTTTGAAGCAGTCATTTAAATATGGCTGCTGCCTCCCCTGTCAGTTTGGAGAACTTTATCTCTGACCTGTCGAGGAACTGCTGGTTCCTCTTGGCTGTACAAGGTTCCTTCTTTTACCCCATTCCTTCGGAACGATTCTGAACCTAAAAGTCCCCTGGCAGCGGTTTGTCTGGCAGTTTTCGCAGAGCTTGTCAGAGCTCCACTATTTCCCAACCAGTCTCGTCACAACACTTCCAGCTTCTCCCCAGTTTTAGTCCTTGAAGGATAGAATCCCTGGCTCTCTAGAGGATGAGGGCATCCTGATCCATGTTGGGGTCGATCTCATAGCTGGGGCTAAAAAGAACCAGTTATTCAGGCCATAAGGCTTGGGCATCTTGATTATTTTGGATGCCATGTTGTTTAGCAGCTTTATAGTGTACTGTAGTGGCCTTGAGAACTTGTTGTTTTTCCTCTGTGGACAGGAATGCCAACAGGAGAGTAAAAATGTCTGGCATATGAGTAGCCATCACACATTGAACAAACTCCCCATAGCTTTGGGGGGGGGGGAACTCCCTGTATTGGTATTGGTATTGGTATTTT